ATTCATGTAATTTTTAAAATTATTTTATTCTTCTAAATAAAAAATATTACTACTAAATAAATGTACATACTAAAGTTTAATTATTTATTTATAATAATAGTAAAATATATTTATTGCAGATATTTATTTTGGATTATGAAGGTATCAATATTTACGTATCTTGTTATATTTGGACTTTTACCTATTATATTTCATTATTCTTATGCTTTCCAAAAAAAGATTCTTTTCTTAAATTTTGGTAAGTAAAATTTATTTATATATTATATTATATTATATTATACAGATTATTGATAAACTTTTTATTCATGAATATAATTATATATGTGATATATTTTTAGTCCAATGGCCACTTAATGTAGATTTTTCAAAACCAGAATCAATTGGAATGAAAGGAACAAGAAATTTTTATTTAAAAACTGATGAACAAGTGAAAATAGGATTATGGTTGATAACTGATAAATAGATATATATTTTCAATTTATTTATATTAATTACATATTATTTTTTAGGCAAATACTACCTCAATCTTTATTAAATGATTCCACTATTACAACTGCTAATGATTATGAAGCTGTATTAAAAAATGCTAAACAACCAATTTTTCTTTATATGCATGGTAATAGTGGTAATAGAGCAAGTAGTCATCGTTTAGAATTATATAAACTTTTTCAGAATTTAGATTATCATGTTATATGTTTTGATTACAGAGGTAAGATTAAAATGTTATTGTAAAAAAGAAGTTCATATAAAAAATTTATGTAAATAAATATTTTTTGATTGCAATGTTTTTTAATGTAGGCTATGGTGATAGTGAAGAAGCAGAACTTTCTGAAATGGGGGTAGTTAATGATAGTAAATATGTACTTGAATGGCTATTAAAAATAGTAAATGGTACAACCCCTGTTTTTGTATGGGGACATTCATTAGGAACTGGGTATAAATTTATATTTATATAAAATGATAAAATTAATGATAAAATTAAAACTTAGATTTTTATTATATTATAGAGTATCTACTCATGTATTGGCATTATTAGCAATAAAAAAAATTCAACCTGCAGGTTTGTTCTTAGA